CCTGCATGTGGTGGGTGAGGTGGTCGAGTGTGTAGATAGTTTTCGTTATCTTGGCTCTCTCCTTCACACGAATGGCCGATCCACCCCGGATATCAGCTTGCGCATTTTCAGTGCATCACATGTATTTGGAGCAATGCGCCAGCCGGTTTTTAATGACAGCAACCTTTCCCTTACTACGAAGCGCCGTGTGTACGAGGCATGCGTGTTGTCTCTGGTTCTGTACTGTGCTGAGTGATGGGTGCCGTTGAAGCCCAACCTTGATGCACTATGCTCTTTTTATCTGCGCTGCATCCGTTCCGTAGTGGGTATCAGCCAGCGGAATGTCTGGGACGAACGACTGAACAGAGTTGATGTTCTGGCGCAATGGAACCCTCTGAAAGCCGGAGACATCCCCTGCCTGCTGGCGCGCACCCCATGGAGTGGCTTGGGCATGTTGTGCGAATGTATGAAGTGCGTGCCCCGTGTCAGCTACTGTTTGGCGCCCTACATCCTGTCTGTTCGATGTGCGGCCCGAGGAAAAGGTGGCGCGATGCTTTGCGAAAGGATCTGGCAGTGTTGGCCATCGACAAATGGTGCGACTTGGCTGAGGATAGACGAGAATTGCGGCCCGCTTACAATGTTCTGTCCCCGCCCGAACCCGTTTGTACGCCCCTGTGGGAACCGTGTGCCAAGTGTGGTCGTCTCTTCTCCAGGAGTGGTTGGCCTCATCACAAATGCCTCGGTGAGCGCCGCAAACCTGTATCAGAACAGAGAGGTAGCCGACAATGCTCTGCCTGCCAGCGCTGGTTCCGCAGTGCCGGAGGTTTGGCGGTCCACAAGTGACCCATCTCCCAGACGCTGCCCACGACATCATCTCAGGCTCCGCGCCGAGCAGCGATGTCCACCATTGCTGCTCACCCGACTCCTCCGTCGCTGCGTGTCCGGCTGGCTCTGTTATGTTGCAAGGGTCACTGTGGAGCCTGTGGTCGGTGCTGTCGCTCTTCTCATGGCATCCAGATCCATAGCTGCCGGAGTTGGCTCTCTCGTGGTGCCAATTGAACATGCTCCCTGACCTCTCAGCGTACCCGACTTTCCATATTGTCGGCCCCGCAAGGGGACACGTGACCGTAATGGCAGTGCTTACCAGGACCAGGTGTTTGTGTGTGTATGTGTTTGTATGTATGTGTATATGTGTGTGTGTGTGTGCGTGTGCGTGTGTGTATGTATTTGTGTGTATATACAAGAGAGAGTTTGGAAGCTTTGTCACAACTCCGAGTTTCACGTATCTCTACGATCATCAGGCAACTGATGGATCCAAAACGGGCAGCCAGAACATAAGGGGGAGCAAGGTGGGAAATCCCGAGGGGTGTCATAGGCGACGCGTATCATAGCGCAAGAGTCAGGTGCAGGCGTGAAGTTGCCAAGTCTTCAGACTTGGGGCTATGCAGCAGTAGTTCCGGCATGAATGATATAGAATAGAGCTGGGGGCAAATGCCAAATCCACACATGCCCACACCACAACACAAACATACACCCACACTCTCTCCCTTTTCTCACATACACATACACTCACACGCGCGTCCGCACACACATTCTCTAAATCTCTCTCTCTCACACACACACACACACACACACACACACACATTCATTCTCTATATCTCACACATGCACACGCACACACACATTCATTCTCTATATCACACACACACACACACACGCATTCTCCAAATCTCACACACACATTCTCTAAATCTTACATACACACACACATTCTCCAAATCTCACACAAACATTCTGTCTCTCTCTCTCTCTCTCTCTCTCTCTCACACACACACACATACACACGGCCACAATACTCATCCTTTCATTCTCACACCTACCGCACACATACTTGCACCCGCACTTATCCAATCACCTACACGCACTCTCTTTCTCACGAATGCACACAAACACACACACACACACACACATGCGCGCTCACACTCACACACACACGCACACACACACACACACACACACACTTGGCAGCGGGACTACCAGCTAGATTCACTTGACCTTGCGCGCAAAGTTACAGAAGTAGAACTTGTTTTCATGACGGCACTTGGACACAAGCTCTGACCTCTTGTTGAGGGAACGGGTCTTGTTGGCCCAGGCAATCTCCAGCTTCTCGGCCAGACACAGGTTGCAGCACTTCGAGATGTTAGAGTATGGTGCGGCTCTCCTCACAACGGACCACCTTCAGTCTCCAGATGTGTCTGGACAGTCTCGTTGAGGTCTCGTGCTTCTTGTGGCGAATAGTATGTTGATGACCATTGAATCGTGTCTTGAATGTCCCTTCCGTTAATCCAGTGTACTCCTTCATGTCGCTGCCGGTTACATGTGCCCTGTACACAATGCTCGATGCTAGACAGTTTCCTTCCAAGGGGCAATCATTTTTGACACGGCAGTTGCAGGTTCTCACGTCCTTGGTCTTATTCTGGTGGTCGCTGCGGAGGATACTATTGTTGTGTTGCTTGATGATGGTGGCGACATTTGGCATGCAACTGTAACTGAACTTTAGCGTGTTCCGGTTAAATATCTTGTATAATTTGCAACCCTTGTGGAAGTGCTTGCTGACGAGTTGCAGGAATCGCTGACCAATGTTCGTGGACACATTCTTACTGAACGGTGGGTTAAACCATGTGATATTCCGGTGTCTCTTCCTTTGTCTCTTCCTTTTCCCACTCTTCCGTTCCTCCAAGAACTGGACGGTCTCATTGTACCCGCTGTCTCTGAGCGCATTGTTGTACATTTGAGATGCGTCCTGGAATGTCTCCTCATCCGTTGATATGTCCGTTAGTCGTCGGCTGATGGAAGAGGGCAAGTTCTGGATGATGATTGGTGGGTGGTTGGATTTGTGATGGACATACAGTGGCCGGTCGTTGGGTTTCCGATATGGACGGTATTTGCCAGTGCGTAGGTCCAGCGTGATGTCTAGGAAGTCGACTGATTTCAGGTTTGCCTGGATGGTAATTTTTAGTCCTAGGCTGTTGAAAACTTTGGTCATGTCCTTTCTGATCTTGTCCACTTCCGGTCCCGATACGTTCCGGAACACTGCCAGCCCATCGTCGCGGTATAGTCCAATGTCACTGCCGTTGTACACCTCGGATAGTTTGGCCAGGGCCAGCGTGCCGACCAACTCACAGACTTCAGCACCGTCATAGCACCCCATCGTCACATCGAATACTCCGCTTCCCTTCTTCAACCACTCTTTCCCGAGGCCGAATAGCAGGGATTTCTTCCGAGATAGACGGGTAGAACTCCACGACATCAAAACATACAAAAACGCAGTTTTGCTTTTCCTCCAGCCCCTCGAACCAGTCGATCACGGCGGATGTGTTCTTCCAGGCATTTGTTGGCAGTTGGCGCCGGATATCCTGGACTATCCTTTCCAGGATCGCCTTTGATACTTTTCCGACCTCGCTCTTCGCCGGATTGATGAGGCGGCATGGGAGGTTGTCGTTAAAGTTGTCTTTGTGGTCTTTTAGAGTCACGTACGCGTCCTTTTTGCCATACAATCCATTCTCTCGTCCAATCCACGCGCATTGGCTATATTCCTAGCCTCCACATTTGTGTGTATATATGTATTTGTGTGTATTTGTGTGTATATGTGTGTGTGTGGTGCTCCTGCTCTTGTAGCAGTTGAGCACTCTTGCGTGGGGTAGTGCCTTTGCTGTTTGCGTTATGCAGAGCTCACTGACTTGTCAGTTTGAGCACTCTGGCAAGGTACATTCGGGCCTGATTGGAAATTTTTATTTCCATTGCTATCAGGTTCGGCCTCATTTTCTCTGTGCTGCGCTGATGAGTTCAAAAAAAACGAAACAGCATGCTGTCCGCAGATTGAGTATGTATGTATGTATGTATGTACCGTAAAGTATTGTATAAAAGCCGCGGCTTCTAGGACTTTCTTGGTGAAATGTTGCAGGCTTCTACTATAAGACAGGCTTCTATACAAGACAGGTATTTCTATGTATGTCAACACTAAAACCAGGCTTTAATATGTGTGATTTGATGGACCCAAAATTGCCGCTTCTTTTCGAGGGCGGCTTTTATACAAGACTTTATGGTATGTGTGTATGTATGTACAGTGCTGGCAACTGAAATCCGACCCAATGCGCCGCCCATGGGGTCGGATTTCAGTTGCCAGCACTGCATGTGTGTGTGTGTGTGTGTGTGTGTGTGTGTATGTGTGTATGTGTGTATCTCTTTTCGATGTGATGTTTGTCGCCGCTCTTTCCGCTCTCGTTCTGGTTTGAGCCGTCATCACTGTGACCGTGCGAAACGGATGTCACGTGCAGCCAGGAACAACTGCCGTCATGAATGCGAGCATTGCGAAAGACGGTTCTCAAGGCCACAGGACTTGCAACGCCATGCCAAATATTGTTGACTTTGCGATTTCTCTCTCTTCTCTTCTCTCTTCTTGTCGTTGACTCCCGTTTCTGGGAGCGGCGTGGCCCGATAGAGTAGCTGTACATCGTAGTAGTAGTAGTAGTAGTAGTAGTAGTAGTAGTAGTAGTAGTAGTAGTAGTAGTAGTAGTAGTAGTAGTAGTAGTAGTAGTAGTAGTAGTAGTAGTAGTAGTAGTAGTAGTAGTAGTAGTAGTAGTAGTAGTAGTAGTAGTAGTAGTAGTAGTAGTAGTAGTAGTAGTAGTAGTAGTAGTAGTAGTAGTAGTAGTAGTAGTAGTAGTAGTAGTAGTAGTAGTAGTAGTAGTAGTAGTAGTAGTAGTAGTAGTAGTAGTAGTAGTAGTAGTAGTAGTAGTAGTAGTAGTAGTAGTAGTAGTAGTAGTAGTAGTAGTAGTAGTAGTAGTAGTAGTAGTAGTAGTAGTAGTAGTAGTAGTAGTAGTAGTAGTAGTAGTAGTAGTAGTAGTAGTAGTAGTAGTAGTAGTAGTAGTAGTAGTAGTAGTAGTAGTAGTAGTAGTAGTAGTAGTAGTAGTAGTAGTAGTAGTAGTAGTAGTAGTAGTAGTAGTAGTAGTAGTAGTAGTAGTAGTAGTAGTAGTAGTAGTAGTAGTAGTAGTAGTAGTAGTAGTAGTAGTAGTAGTAGTAGTAGTAGTAGTAGTAGTAGTAGTAGTAGTAGTAGTAGTAGTAGTAGTAGTAGTAGTAGTAGTAGTAGTAGTAGTAGTAGTAGTAGTAGTAGTAGTAGTAGTAGTAGTAGTAGTAGTAGTAGTAGTAGTAGTAGTAGTAGTAGTAGTAGTAGTAGTAGTAGTAGTAGTAGTAGTAGTAGTAGTAGTAGTAGTAGTAGTAGTAGTAGTAGTAGTAGTAGTAGTAGTAGTAGTAGTAGTAGTAGTAGTAGTAGTAGTAGTAGTAGTAGTAGTAGTAGTAGTAGTAGTAGTAGTAGTAGTAGTAGTAGTAGTAGTAGTAGTAGTAGTAGTAGTAGTAGTAGTAGTAGTAGTAGTAGTAGTAGTAGTAGTAGTAGTAGTAGTAGTAGTAGTAGTAGTAGTAGTAGTAGTAGTAGTAGTAGTAGTAGTAGTAGTAGTAGTAGTAGTAGTAGTAGTAGTAGTAGTAGTAGTAGTAGTAGTAGTAGTAGTAGTAGTAGTAGTAGTAGTAGTAGTAGTAGTAGTAGTAGTAGTAGTAGTAGTAGTAGTAGTAGTAGTAGTAGTAGTAGTAGTAGTAGTAGTAGTAGTAGTAGTAGTAGTAGTAGTAGTAGTAGTAGTAGTAGTAGTAGTAGTAGTAGTAGTAGTAGTAGTAGTAGTAGTAGTAGTAGTAGTAGTAGTAGTAGTAGTAGTAGTAGTAGTAGTAGTAGTAGTAGTAGTAGTAGTAGTAGTAGTAGTAGTAGTAGTAGTAGTAGTAGTAGTAGTAGTAGTAGTAGTAGTAGTAGTAGTAGTAGTAGTAGTAGTAGTAGTAGTAGTAGTAGTAGTAGTAGTAGTAGTAGTAGTAGTAGTAGTAGTAGTAGTAGTAGTAGTAGTAGTAGTAGTAGTAGTAGTAGTAGTAGTAGTAGTAGTAGTAGTAGTAGTAGTAGTAGTAGTAGTAGTAGTAGTAGTAGTAGTAGTAGTAGTAGTAGTAGTAGTAGTAGTAGTAGTAGTAGTAGTAGTAGTAGTAGTAGTAGTAGTAGTAGTAGTAGTAGTAGTAGTAGTAGTAGTAGTAGTAGTAGTAGTAGTAGTAGTAGTAGTAGTAGTAGTAGTAGTAGTAGTAGTAGTAGTAGTAGTAGTAGTAGTAGTAGTAGTAGTAGTAGTAGTAGTAGTAGTAGTAGTAGTATGTGTGTGTGTGTGTGTGTGTGTGTGTGTGTGTGTCAGCTACGGTTCGGTTGGTGGGTAAACTTATTCCAGATAGTGTTGGGCCTGTTGCCAACGGGCTCGGCTGGTTGAAGGTGTATTGTTGTACCTACCACCTTTGTTGGTTTCAGGGTTCATATACTTTCTATTTGAAGTAAACATACCTGTTAACCATGGACTGCTTCTGGCTAGATTAACTCTTGTGTAGTCAATGGTGCTAGTGAAGCTTTTATCAGATCCACTCTGATTTAGCCACCCACACTAGTACCAAGTATTACCTTCACTGGGGGCAGGGGTACCTGCAGTTGGATCCCGGGACGGATACCCTGATGCCGTCAATCTTTTTCCTGCACCTTGTCCTCACCCACTTACTGAGGTGTGGTGAGCCCATAAGTGAGATCATTTCAAGTCCACCCTAGTTTGAGGATTTCAGGGGGTGCTGGCCGCTGGGTGGTTGAATGGCCAATTGAGTCATCTTTCCAAGATTTTTTTACGTCTCTCCCCTCTCCCGGGGAGAGCCACGTGACCAGTTTTGGCAGTGAGCAAGTACAAGTGTGTGTGTGTGTGCAGATATACCCTTCGAACGTCCGATTCGGTCCAGGGACAGCCAAGTTAATCCAGGTAGCCCTTTGAAAAGTATGCAAAGTACACCGGTACAGACATATCCGTTACCATGGTACAGACATATCCGTTACCATGGTACAGACATATCCGTTACCATGGTACAGACATATCCGTTACCATGGTCCAGACATATCCGTTACCATGCTATGTGCCTCAAAGGGTTAGACAATGAAAGGAATGTAAGAACAAATACATGACTTCTTCCTGAAACTCAAACAAACACTAAATAAGCTCATGTTCAGGATCGCCCTGACCCGTGGCAAAGCGGCTTATATGACGTCATATACACATAAACATCCCAGTACATTTTCATAAATTCTTGAAGCACCACCCATTCTTCGTCTAGAAATAGCTAAAAGAGAAAAAAAGCCCAGCTGGCCATAAGGAAAATCGTAATGGTTGTCGAGATACAATATTTCATGGGATGCTGCCAAATATCGACCAAGCCAAATGGAAACACGGGCAAAGCAGTGCAGTGGACACACGTCCGCCTTTGAAGTTAGTTTATGCACCTATGATTATTGTTTCCGTTCATGCCACACATAATCCTGTTTAGCCTCTTTGGCGTGCTGTCCGGCATGCCGGTGGTACCGTACTCAATTTAGCTGTACCCGCCCGTTTTGCTCTTCCTTTCATCTCTCTGTCGTTCCCTGTGTTCAAACACACTTGTCAGTTGTTGTAAACAAAGCTAGGCACAAGATGTCTTTGGTAAGCTTGAAGAACGACTACAAGCAACATGTCAATGTTGTGCAGACTGCAGCCATGGCAGGGCAGGCTGAAGGTTCACAACACTTCTTACCATTCACAGATGAAATTGCAGCGAAGCCAACCACCAAGGTGATGAACAAGTTGCCTGCAGATGTCCAAAACACAAGCACAATATTCTGATACCGGTGTGTGTTAACTTTGAACTATCGGATTGACCCCATTTTTCAGTTCTCCCGTCACTTTTAAAATTAAAACTGTGTGGACCCTGGCTAGTGCCAGACGTTACTGAAGAAACGCATTATGCATAGCTACGGGAATTAAACCCTTTACCCACAGAACTCAATGCAGAGCGTTCCACTATCTAAATTTTACTTTGAATTGGCCACAACTTTGGTTTTCCTTGGACAATTGTCATACCGTATGTCAGTGCCATGGCCTTATATTCGAAACACCGCTGCTTTCCCTAGCTATTTTAGATGCAAAAAGACTCACCCACTACGCCATGCCAAATCCACTTGTTCACCCTTTCTGCTGGCCTGTAAGTTTGTTAGTATAGTACTTACTCCTTCATTTTTACAAAACATGCTTCAATAATTATCATTTTCATCTATGAAGCCTATGGCTTTATAACTGAGACTGGCTTTATAATCGAGTACTGTAAAACGACAAACTTTCGCGGCCGCTAAATTTAGCGTTTTGGCAAACTGGACCAGTCAGCGGCGATTAATTTTAGCGATTTTACCTTCCACCGAAAATCAAAGAATTTTATTTTTCGAAGCCTCAGAGTGCTGGCCACAGAGTGCATGAAGAATGAGAGAAGAAATCAAAGAATGAAAGAAGGAATCAAGGAATGAAAGAAGGAATCAAGGAATGTAAGAAGGAATCAAGGAATGTAAGAAGGAATCAAGGAATGTAAGAAGGAATCAAGGCATCAAAGATAACCAACCGTAAGGTAAGCACTAGTACTGGGAGAAAGGATGGCACGTCAGAAGAGGGATCATCGGAAGACTTTCTCTTTGAACTGCTGAGCCACTGCGATACCCATCGCGATAAAATTCAGAAGACTTCTTTGAGCAGTACAACACTAAAATCTACGCAACAGCAAGCTGGCCAAACGCTCCAAGAAGTTCTACAACACTCTCCACAACACTGAGACATTCTCCAGGCGATCGTTTTATTCTCTTGTGGTTCAAGTCGCCGTACTCCAACGACAACTATTTTTTGTTACTTTCAAGACTGGTGAGTGGTGTTGGTACGTAACCCGTCGTTGTAACAGCTGCGAGCTTTGGTTGGCCATAGCAGTCGGCCGTGCAAGCATCTATCAGCGCTGTGAATGTACTACAGCCAGTGCAGTGAGTGATGCATGCGCATGTACTGTACAGAGCTGTTGCAAAACGATCGATCATCGACGCATCGCGTGGTACGTAATACTAATAGTACAAATTTCACATTCGCGTGTCAAACTTTCGCGATTCGACCCTGCTCGCGAAAGTCGCGAAAGTTAATCGCTCGCGAAAATTTGTGTGTTTTACAGTATACCACCATGGCTTTAAAGGTGCGGATACGGTAATATCTTCCTCACGAGAGGAACACATAGTGAACTCAAACTCCATTCTATGAGATGCTCTGGCTCAGCGCTGCAAGCCGGCAAAGCTGTTTCAGGGCGTGCCCGCACTGTCAATCGATCTCCATCCGGCATTTTGCTCTCCTTGCTCGTATCAAGCTCATTCCTTTATAGCCACTCACGGGAATCATTGCTTGAAATTGAGTAAGTCTATCCTTGTCAACAGCTGACATGGGCAGCGAAAACCCCGGCTGTTTTTTTTCACACATTAAGCCCTGAGCGTAAATTGACTACGACCAAAAAGAAATTAAAAACCCGGACGCGGATGGAGAGCCAACGATAAAACACCTCGTGAACACCAGATAGTCAGTGTCGGCAGGAAGTCAGCAGGAAAACCGCGAGCTCCCATGTAGGGAGCAACACACTCTTCCCCTACTATCGCCGAAGTCGCACCAACCTCTTCTTCACATAGAAAGGAAAAAGGACCAAGGAACTACAAGTTACGCTATACTGTCCACTAACACCACCAGTTACTAACAATGAGCTCATACGATAACATGGCACCACACTGACCAACAAAACATTCAAACATCTATGTACCGTAGTGTCAAACAACAGGAGGACAGAGAAAGTGTTTTTACTCCGAGTTTCACGCACTAAGCGATCATCAGAAAACAGTAATGAGAAATCTGGATCAGTATTGGTTTATATACTCACAAAGCAAAGTGTAAATAGCTACAGCATGGTGCAAATCTAAAAGTTGTGAATGGCGGCAGTGCAAAGCGTGAATGACTGCATCATGAGGCAAATCCAAAAGTAAAAGTGTGAATGACAGCAGTGGTGAAAGGTGACAACCACTGGAGCCGGTTGTCTCTTACTTACTTAGGTGATGGCTGTAGATGGTTTAAAGTGTACCGTAGTGTCTTGTGTTACAGCCTATCTCATATAGAAGCCTGTTTCGAATAAACGCCTTCTTTTAAAGATACACTGTCTGCATATAAGCCTGGTTTTAGTGCTGACATACATAGAAAATTATCATACCTGAAACACTTGGTGTGAATAGAAGCCTGATGTGACAAGAAGCGATGTGACAAGAAGCCTAGCACAGAAATCGGCTTCCTCTGGAGTATCTTATTTGGGCACTGCCAGGTGGAATGCACTCCCGCTGGCTAAGGGCCGGGTTCCACTGCGGCTCCGCTGCTCCACGGCACTTGGCTGCATGCAGCAGAGCAGCGCGGTTCCACTGTCACTCGCCATTCGCGGTACCGCGGTCGTGGTCCACACTTTCTGATGATGTTTCACGCGCGAAATCAAACAAATCCTCGTGTTCTGGCCTGCACAACGAATTAAAATTTGAATTTTAAATTTCTGGCGTACAAAACAATGCAAAGTACGGGAAACAGGTCGAGCCGCGACCGCGGCTCGCAGTTTTTGGTCAAGAATCGTAGCAAGAGCTCGCGGTGAGCCGCGGACTCGCTGCTCCAACTCGAGCCGCGGTCACTATGGTAACGATGACGTTTCAAGCCGCGAAAGACGAGCAGCGGAGCCGCAGTGGAACCCGGCCCTTACCGCATGTCAGTCCAGTTCCTATTGCATCCCATGAGACTAAAATCGTCGTGATCGGAGCAATTTTCAAAATCCACCAATATCCTACTGACAGCTATGCTGACCAGCACAAGAACCAGTGCGCTGCACTAGACTAGGTGCATAATTATGTTATCTTGTGCTTGAGGGTCAATAGAATGAAAATCATCTGATCATTATGTGTGTGGGATTCAGCAAGCAGCCAAACTTCATATCGCGTACAGGAAAGTCATCGCGACGCGACTCGTAGCTGAGATCAACTTTTTCACGACACGACGTTTTCCTGTACGCGAAATGAAAGTATGGATCAGGCTTTCGCCAGAAATCAATCCCACAGTGGTCCGGACGTAGACAAGTTACTAAAGAGGAGCAAAGTGGCAATGATCCTGACAGAAATGCTTTTTGATATTGTGCACAATATTTCACCGACAGTGTTTATCTTTCCCATCCCTTTTTCACTCATTTACCAGGGTCGTTGGAGGCTGTTGGCGAGTGGTATGGCTGGGGCCCCGGGGGCGTCCCCTGGGGGGGGGGGGGTCAAGGTCAAGGGGGCAGAGCCCCTTGCGGGGTGCGGCGGTGGAACCCCGAGTTAGAAGAATTTTGGATTCCATGTAATAGAAAACAGCCCTGATGCATGTCTTGAACATTGTACAGCAAGTGCAGTATTCTGCAACTTCCGCCAAATTAGCCATGAATCATGCCAAAGCACAAAATAGTAATAGCAAGAGTCCATAAACAAGAGTATGCAACTGTGATCTTTTGTCTATGGGCCAGATGCGCGGCGCGCTGCCTTCACTACATCATTCAGCTGCAGTCCGCGCACTGCGAAAAATCAAAGAACAATGAAAACCACGTCATTTTCCGCGAAATCTACTTCATTCTTTGTCTGAGTCTGTATCCTGTTCGAAATCATAGTCAAACAAAAAACTTGAAAAGCAAAATGCATTTCGCAGAAATGACGAGGTTTTCAACATTCTATTCTCAACACTGTGTCTGCTTTCCTTTATTTCTCAACCATGCATTCTCTACTCCATACAAGCCAGCCTACTATCTGTGTATATAACACAGTCTTTGCACAAGACTTTTCTCAAGGTTTGGAGACTCCACTGTAGCCAATACTTGAATCCATACATCCTGTGCACACACCTTGTACACACTCTCTCTAACGGTCTCTAGGCTACACTGCAATTGATATACATAAGATCAAATTTTCGGGCAAGGCCCATCATCAGGAATTTATAATGTATATCAATTGCAGTGTAGCCTAGAGACCGTTAGAGAGAATGTGTACAAGGTGTGTGCACAGGATGTATGGATTTGCACAGGACTGGTCATGTTATTCAGCATGCATCGCACACCTCTCTACTCATACCAAAGGCATATTTGGCACATCATCTGTAGCAACTGCACCAGCATATCAGGCTCACCAAAATTTTCAAACGAGCGAGTATTCGAAATTTTGCACTCGATGTTTTTTATATTTTTTGTTTTGTTAGAATTGGCATTCTATTTTTCAAAAGCTTTTGTTGTACCGCTCGTCCACTGGTACAGGCGAAGCGCCAGCACCCCAAATCAAGACTTTTTTTATTTTCCGTGGCGGGAAATCGAGCTTCTCCAGGTATCTACAGCCTGTAAAATTCAACGCTGAGAATTTCCAACTATTAACTATTGTCCGGCTTTGGCCCTCTGCCACCGACCTATCCTTTGAAGGAGAATGCTGAAACCAATTGGTTGCTCTTCAGTAGTTCTTTCTCTATCGTACACATATTTTTGCATGTCGACACATGCCGTGTCCGACGACGTAGACACTTCTCAACACTTGAGTGACTTGAATTTGGCCATGATGACCGAATGTCATTGGACCGTGGAGTCGAGTAGAGGGCTCAGGCTCGATCGGCATAACGGGTACGTAAAGCACAAGGGTAGGGCTAATGATATATCAAGTTGTTTGCTGTGCAGAGCCTTGGGGCGGAATTCGGCACGAAATTCTCTGCTCTCCAACTGTTGAGTATACCATGCAATACGTAGGTTTAAACTCATGTTACAGTGCTGTCACGGTTGCAACCCTCTTTCAAATGGTGACGTAGCCAACAACCACATAATCCATATCAAACCTTGCCCCTTGTTTTCTTTCTAAGTGTGAAAAATAGAAATAATCGTCAGGCGAAATTACTGGTCAGTCGGCGTCACGCATTTTTCACAAAAAATTGCGTTTCACCTGCTGGGAGAGTATGCGTGTACTCGAGTCTCATCCTGAGCCCGTTTTTTTCTTCTTTTTTTCAGCTCTAGTATAGCTGTATTTTTCATTGCAAAGCCGTCCTCGATTGTTGTGTTCGTTGTTCAAACGAAGTGGACATTCAATCATGAAGCAGAGGACATAGGAGCCTGATTGGAGTTTCTCGTGGCATAGGACGGCCACACAGAGACACTTTGGGATTTTCTGAATATAAAATACCGTACGCACGATGCTGAAATCAATTTGTGCGATACTCAAATTGTTTGTGATCTACCACATCGAGCAGAACGGGATCCAAACACAAGCTTACCGACGGTTAGGCTGCCGACCTGACTGGACAAATGATCCCTGGCTTCACCAGACGCCAGAAGTCGGACACCATGTCCTTTGTCGCGACGTCCATCTCCAAAAAGAACTCCATCTTCGTCGTGAAAAGGCTTGAAATACTCAATATTCAACCGAGATTCGCGGACTCGCGCTTTCTCGGATCGATTAATTTCCTGCTGGAACAGTTGCAGGGCAGCTTCCCGCCACTGTTTCAACAGGCGATGGCTCCAAAGCATGCCTGGAACAAGCCATATCGAGGTTGCAAGTCCCCCCTCCCAGCAAAAAATTCGAAAAAATTCGAAATTTCAATGGTGGAAGATATACTATGAAGAGAATTTCAAAAAGCATGTTTCGCGGAGCGATCGCTCAACCTACGTCATTCAAACTTTGTAAGATGGTTCAGACGTACATGCTAGGCATGGAACCACAGGCGATGATGCCATAGCTGACATACAGAGTAACACACACAGCAGAATCGTGTGCACAGATACTAAATTAGTGGACGTCGTCATCTTCTTCCCGCTGATCTCGAATGTACTATGACGTGCTATTTCGCCTGACGACCAGTCTTAATCATTGGAAAATGCAAATCACGGTCTATTATCGTCACATCGTACTGTCGGCGACATGGAAATCCAGTCGATTGACCGGGGCCGGCGCCCTCAGCGCGTACAGAAAGTTGCATGCAGTGCACATGTTGATCCAATGCGACCATCAGCAGCGCATGATGAACCGTGCTACGGCTGCATGGCCAGCACCCTGGGGCCGCTATACGTGCGACCGGATTTCCATGTCCACGACAGTAGTACCATGCAGCCTGGTAATGCATTTGGAGCAGGAAAGTGAATGGTAGCACTGCAGTGGTGAACACATGAGCTGATGACACGTTGTTGGTTTGTGTTGTCTCCAGTTCATTGCAGGTTGAACAAGGAATGAACGTCTACTCTTTCTTTCCAAAACTGGCTGGGCACACGCCAATGAGACGGAAGCTAGTGCCAAACCAGTCCTTGGACGTTTTGTTGTGCTGCTGGACTTTCAATCATCATGTTAAGTATATTCCGGTTTCTGAGTCTTCGTGTGCGCCTGAAGAGCTACACTGTGTAGAGATGTTGGAAGTTTATCCTGCTCATGACACTGCACCAAGTACAAGCACTTCCTCGGCACTGCCTGAGCCCTGTTCTGTGTTCTGTGACCAGGAGAAGCAACTAGAAATTTGGAGCTTGAGCTGGAACGCTGGTGCTCTCTCTCTCTCTCTCTCTCTCTCTCTCTCTCTCTCTCTCTCTCTCTCTCTCCGTCACGTTCTGCCACTGTCCGAAACCGGTGCATGTGCTAGCATGTCGAAGCGCATTGTGTCTGAGTCACGCACTCTCCTGCTCCTCCCTCATATGCCCAAGACAGTATGAAGAACTGTGAATACAGTTCATGCCCACATGTGAACTTGTGTGATTCTCTTGTAGTAAGCTGCCACGTGTGTACTTGCACGTGTTGTGTACATGTGTGCGTGTGTGTGTATCTATGGGAATGCGTTCTCCTATTCTCTCTCCCTGCCTTCGAGGCCCACGCAACCCTTGTGGCAGTGGCTCGACAGCACAGGGCAGGAGTGTGCGCGCGTGCATGTGTATATGTGGGTGTGGGTGTGTGCGCATGCGCATGTGTGGGTGTGCGCGCGTGCATGCGGATGTGTGTGTGTGGGGGGGGGGGGGGATGCGCACGCTGATGCTCAGCTCTCCAGAATTATGTCCGTGTGCGTAGCCAGTGTATGGTGGCAACATAGCCTTCCTTCATGTATATGCGCATACTATTTGGGATGCTTTACTGTTTTTGGTGGGATCCAGTTACATAGTTTTCTGTTCAATTATTTATGTTTATACAGCTGCTGTATTTGTAGTGCAACTTTATAATAATGTCTTTCTGCTGGTCAATTTGTCGTCTTGATGGTGTTCTAATACTGATATACATAGAAAATATTACTATCAGAAAGTGTACTCGTTGTGAAGTTGTCGTTCTTTGGGCTCAAACCATTGCTCGTGTATAGGTAGATACATATCAGTGGGTTCGATTGGTGGCGAGAGGTCAGCCTAAATTGTTTGGGGCGGAATTCGGCACGAAATCCACGCTGAGTACTTTTTGACGACGAGTTGCGTCGGTCTTGAAAACTCTGGCGAGAAAGCGAGGAAAATGATGTCGCTTGGAGCTTTCCACGAAACTTAGGGCAGCCAATGCCCGCACCTTCCCAAACATTGCCTCGGAACAAGACGATACCACCAGGGAAGCTCTTGTGAGCAAGGGATAAAATAGTCTCTTTTTGGCGATATTGAGCTGAGTTTCAAATTTCCCGGGCCTGGGGTCGGATTTGGAAAATAAAAGTGCAACTTTTAGGGCTCTTTTTCGGTGCTGGCGCTTCGCCTGGGTACATGGCATGCATTATGCATGCCTTTGCAGAGGCCAAGCCAAAGCCGGCTCAGCCGGCAGAATGCCGGCTGGGAGGGCGACCTGCCGGCTGAGACAGCTCCAAGGGTTATTTTGGCCGGCTGGCAAACAATTGAGATTTAGAGAAATTTTCCACAAGTACAAGTATTTGTAGCGTGCTGTGTTCGGGGATCATTTTTCTTTCAATCATGTCACCAAGCCCACTATCCTCCGCCAAGGTAAGAGTCGACCACTGTCAGCTGTCGAAAATAGGTCCAGTTTCTGCCACTACAATGTCCGAATAATCGTGGAAACAGAACGACCGGCACGGCGGCAGCGAAAACTACTTCCACTGAACTGGCACTGCACTAGTGCACTGTACTTGCGTAGATCCCATACAGTACAGCGTACTGCATGCACTCCACTCTTGAGGTCACACAGTCACCCACTTGAGGTCAAGCATGTAGACCTGTAGACTGAGTCTGTACTGTAGTGCACTGTACTGTACTGTAGTGCACTGCACTAGCACTTGAGTCAGTAGCATTGGCTACTCAGGCTCAGTGCTAGCTCTTTACTCACGCTCAAATGCACTGAGTATGCACTTGAGTACGTTGTGCGCAGAGTGCCAGTAAAATGTAACATGTGCTAGGTCGGGTCATGGTTCGCTGCTTCCGGTGGCTACACGGCTGTGACACTGACAGCTACAGACTCTGGACTGTCATATCGTGGGCCATTCGTGGCTAGGCTGGGTCTTGTGCATGCTGCATTTCCGAATACGTTTTCTTCACCGTAATGTGTTGCATTCATCACTTTAATCTCAGTCACTGATGACCAGTTTTGCACCAATGTTTATTGCCTTTCTTTGTTGTGCAAGTCAAATGACCAATGTACACTGCAGGCATGACGTTGGTGAACACATGATCCATGCTGATGTAGCTGTTTGCATCCTTTTTCATATTTTGTTAATACCTATAAACACATCGTCACAACTGCCTAATGAATGTCCATAATTGGACGAAGCGAAAGGAGATGCAAGCTGCAAGGAAAGATTTGTAGTGGTGTGTGTCTGTGTGGATATGTAACTGACTGCGGGGGTCTGGGGGCGAGGCCCCTAGAACGATGCATTTTCACTAGAACGTTGGCCGGCTGGCATAAAATCCTGGCTAGACCTCTGCTTTGAGTCAGTATTTTATTACTTGGCCGATGCGATCACCACGGCAAGCAACGTTAGTAACTGTTAGTTATAAAGTACTGATGAAAATCGGTACTTTACACTCTGTACAAGACTTTGGCGACTTTTCTTCTATGTTCACAGATAATTTCTTCCGAATTGGTCGAGAACTCACAAATCTAGGGCTTTTGAATTTTGATAAAATACTCGAAATAATCGGATGCTCGATCGAGTATTATGAATGAGTGCTCGATTGGCCAAAATGGATACTCGTTTCATCCCTACACAGAAGATAACAAAAGTAATAAAACGTACCTAGAGACGCCATTTTGTTTGTTGTCGGAGTTCAATATACTCTGGCTGGAAGTATAAAACCATCAAAAAACATGAAGAACAACATGCACCCACACACGCACACACACACACACGCACATACACACACGCATGCACGCACGCACGCACACACACACACACACACACACACACACTTATACTTGTACTTCCCTCACTGCCAAAATTGGTGACGTGGGTCTCCCCGGGAGAGAGGAGAGACTCAAAAGGGATCTTGGAAAGTGGACTCAATTGGCTATTGAACCGCCCAACGGCCGACACTCTCCCCCCCCCCCCCCCCACACACACACACACAAATCCCCAAACTATGGCCCAGTATGGGTGGACATGCGAATGATCTCACTTACGGGGACACCACACCTCAGTAAGTGGGTGAGGACAAAACAAGGTGCAGAAAAAGGATTGACGGAATGAGGGTATCTGTCCTGGCATCCAACTGCAGTTACCCCTGCCCCCAGTAAGGGTAATACTTGCTACTAGTGTGGGTGGCTAAACGAGAGAGCTTGGAAGCTCAGGGCCCTACGCTATGCTTTGTTGCCTAACTCATCGTGCATGTTATTAGAGCTGATGGAAATGTTTTTTTTCCTTTGATTAGCTACATCATTGTATTGCAAAAATGTTTCAATGAGTTACTGAAGTAACGTCTTATGCATAGCTAGGGGACCGGCGCTGACTCTGCCGATCACGGGTGTTCTGGAGTCGACGGCATGTCTGTCCAGACGTTTCCTGGGATCGGCGCTGACTCTGCCGATCACGGGCGCTCTGGAGTCGACGGGATGTCTGTCCTGACGTTTCCTGGGACCGCCGCAGACTCTGCCGATCTCTCTTCCGACGTTTCTTGTGACCGGCGCTGACTCGCCCGTTCACGCTTATTTGGAGACGACGGGATCTCTCTTCCATAGTATGTTTTTGCTAACGCATCCTATCACCTATTCGGCAACTAACGTCCATTCTACATGTAATAATATTGCATTTCCTCCTTGTCTCCCTATTTCGTTCCTGAAAATCTCCCTATACATCAGGGAGTCGTATACATAAGACGAATATTGTGGCCAGCTGTTTGTGGCCAGTTGTGTTTGATGGTACGGTACGGGACAGATATGGGAGCCAGCAAAATTTTGTGGCCACATGGCTTGCTCTAGACATTCAACACAGCCCGGTTAGAGTGTACCTGGCGCATGCAGGCCAGCCGGGTCAGATCATCCGGCAGAAAAACAGCCAAAAGGCCTGCTCAAAATGCAGGAAAACAGAAAGGCGAATTTATTACCGGGAATCAGAAATTTTAGAGAACAAGGCGAACTATCAAAGCCAACAAACGTAGAAGGTAAACGACATTACGTGAAGAATGCAAAGCAGTTCCATTTGATTCTGATTTAACAATTTGAAAAAAAGGAATTCTGTTTTCTAATTAGTGCTAGTAGCAGGACGAACATGTTCACATAATAGAGCACTGTGGGGGGGGGGGGATGCCTGCAACACCTTGTGGAGTGGCTGCTTGCTGCCACTGCATCATCTGCATGGCCAAGCCAACTGGCATCTGCTGCACCATCTGCTGAAAGGCTTCAGCAGACTGGAGAACTGGTGGAGTTGCAACTGATGCTGCTGCTGCTCCTGGCACTGTCGCTGCTGCTGCTGGCGCTGCTGCTGCTGCTCTGGGTGTGAGGGCCAGGTCCCTCCGTTCAGACAAGGTTGATGTGGCAGTCGTAGTGCGCCGAGTCACCTAAGAATGCCATGCAGCCATAGCCGTGTCATAGTTGAAGTCGGCGACGGCAGGAACGACGAGCTTGATTGCCATGATCATCTCCAGATTCCTTGTCGACAGCGAGTTCCGCATCGCCGTCTTCACAAGCTGAAGTCTCGCTCGCATTCAGCAGTGGACCGGCAAACGGCCAATCCCCAGTCAGCGATGCGAGCCAGGTTCGGGTAGTCTCCAGCATGTTGCTCAGCGAGAATCTCGAAAATCTGCTGCACGCCTTTCGAGGCCCGGAGGTTCGGGTGGGTGAGACTAAACGATTACTTGAGCAGATGTCGAAAGCTAGGATGGAGCCGAGCAGCATGCCGATAATTCGAAGCAGTGAGTTTGTACCTTTCAACCACGCATCGCGACCAAATCCACCGCCGCTCGTCTTCCTTTGGAAATGCGTCTTGCACAAAGCGCATGACATGGATAGACTGGCATGGTCGTAGTCCAGCCAGGGTCGACATTTCTTCAAAGAGTCATGGAAAGCGTGAGTTCTTTTTCTCTTCGCTGCGGGCTCCATCGTCCAAATCACCAGTCGGCTGAAAACTTGCAACTGTGTCAAAAGCTATAGCCAAAGTTACACTTTTGACTGCCTGAAACATAGACTCGCCGCTGGCCACATCGCGCTCGAACGAGTTGACCACAGTTGACCCTAGCCGAGTTTCTGTTGCTTGTAGACTGTAGTGTGTGCGGTTGCTCTAGATTTGCAACAGATGGGGTCCGCGAGTTGTAAAATACCGGTATTTTAGGAATCCATTGTCAGTTTGAGACATTTTTCAGCCGGGTCAGACTGGACCCGGTGTTATCTGTTCAGCCAGGTCGTGCAGTTCCCCAGCCGGGCGCGTGACCCGGCTCTCCAGCAGGCCCTGGGCCAGCTGGTATGTGCAATCCTGTAGAGCCTTTGTAGTCACAGATATGGGACAGATACGGGACAGATACGGGATAGCGCCAGGCGTGACACAAACAAACAAACACCAAATTTAAGCTGTGTGGACCCTGGCTAGCGTCAGACGTTACTGAAGTAACGTCTTCTGCATAGCTACGGGAATAAGCTTCACCAGCACCAGTGATTACACAAGAGTTAATCTAGCCAGAAACAGTCCATGGTTAACAGGTACACACACACACACACGCAGCACACACACACACACGTGCACACGATGCACACGCACGCAGACACACGCAGCACGCACACACACACACACACACACACACACACACACACACACACATAAGAACACAAACACAGAACCCACACACGCGCACGCGCGTGCGAACAAACACATGCATGCAGCACATGCACACACAGCACACAAACACGCACACACACACACACACACACACACACACACACACACATTAGCTACAACATACAGCAGTTTGCGGTACGGAGGGAGCTGGCGAGCAAAGTGAGAGCCAAGAGGATAGTCACGTTGTCCGAGAGACGAAGACCGAGAGCCCTGAGCAGCCGGAAATGAGCATGGCAAACACACACACATACACACACACACACACACACACACACGCACAAACACACAGCACACCACAATTAACTACAACACATAGTAGCTTGAGGTACGGACGGTGCTGGCCAGCGAAGTGAGAGGCTACGGAGAGAGCAGGATCTTGGCGGAGCCAAGAGGATAGTCACGTCTGAGGGATGAAGACCGAGAGCCCTGAGCAGCCGGAAATGAGCATGGCAAATACCCGTTTACTGTAAACCGCCCAATATCCGCGTCAATAATTTTTTTGCGATTTCTTAGAACCAGCGAGTTTGCGATGGCAAAGGTTTGCGAAGCACTGGGGCCACCTACATACACCCACTGTTGAAGTTTGATTTCACGCTGGTTAATATTGGCGATACGCTCTTCTCGCGAAAATAGCGAACACTAATCCGCCGCGAATATTAGCCAGTTTTCAGTATTTACTTTATCAAAGTAACTGAGAGATGAAAAATGGGAGGTGGGTGGGTGAAACACAATGATGTGACAAGAGTGATCCACACACAGTACGGATCGAAATATATAACTAGGCAAACTTTAGTATGCCACATGGATTGCCCGAGACGCATGCCGCCTACTTTTTTAATTTGTTTAAGGATTCCCCAAAGGCTTTCGCCTATCGAGGGGGTTTCCAAACTTTCCATAATACCAAATCTGTAAAAAAAGTAATGAACTTTGAGCGTCTCGCATGAATGAATGCCACGTTGTGTGTCACGTAGAATGCCACAACGCATAGAGTTACAGTGCCATGTGAGCATGCACCAAGACGTTTGGCCGACATGGAAAGCAAAGCAAGCGCATGCAGTAAAAGCGCTAGCAATCATAGCAGCATAGTTTGAGTGGTAGCACGAAGCAGCCGCGTGCACCCATTAATCTGCATTATTACTATAATGCTATACAACACACACACACACATGCACACACACACACACACACACACACACACACACATGCACACACACACACATGCACACACACACACACACACATGCACACACACACACACACACACACACACACACGCACAGAGCACATACAAACAGCACACAAACACACACACGAACACACACACAAATTAACTACAACATACAGCAGCATGCGGTACGGAGAGTGCTGGCCAGCGAAGTGAGAGACTACGGAGAGAGCAGGATCGTGGCGGAGCCAAGAGGATAGTCACGTCCGAGGGACGAAGACCGAGGGCCCTCAGTAGCCGGAAATGAGCATGGCCAACACCACACACACCACATACATCTATGGGGTTATGGGTGTACTACCATTGTTGGTTGTGACTGCTACCAGTCTGCCTGGGCATACTCCAAACACTTTGAACATGTGCAGATGACTCTGTGATACGCGGTGGCTGCGCAGTTTCCATGAATGCAGGCGTAGATATCAGGTGGTACACTGTACAGACTACAGTGCCATGTATTGTAGTTGCCAGATTTCACACAAGTACACTGGAATCAAGGCCTGCACTGCGTGATGTCGCTACGGTAAAAGCACCGTTGAAGCTGTGCATGAGAGCTCGCATACGCTCGTACTGCTAAAAAAAGTTCGGATTTCGCTAAACACACGAGTTTTCTACCGTTGATCACGAAAATAAAAAAATAAAATAAATCCCGGGACGGACCGAAAAACCGGGGCGGCCGCTGACGATCAACAATCAATTATTTTTACTTGGCCTAATGCTACACAAACACACTCACACACACACACAGAACACACACACACTTGCGCGCTCGTACACATGCACACAGCACACAACACGCACACCAAGCACAGAAACACACACACACACACATTAGCTACAACATACGGCAGTTTGCGGTCCGGAGGGTGCTGGCGAGCAAAGTGAGAGGCTACGGAGAGCAGGATCTTGGCGGAACCAAGAGGATAGTCACGTTGGCCGAGAGATGAAGACCGAGAGCCCTGAGCAGCCGGAAATGAGCATGGCCAACACACACACACACACACACCACACACACACAGAGCACACACACAAACACACACAATTAACTACAACACACAGTAGCTTGCGGTACGGAGGGTGCTGGCCAGCGAAGTGAGAGGCTACGGAGACAGCAGGATCTTGGCGGAGCCAAGAGGATAGTCACGTCTGAGGGACGAAGACCGAGAGCCCTGGGCAGCCGGAAATGAGCATGGCAAATACCCGTTTATTTACTTTATCAAAGTAAATGAGAGATGAGAAATGCGAGTTTGGTGGGTGAAACACAATGATCTGACAAGAGTGATCCAAACACAGAACGGATCGAAATATATAACTAAGCAAACTTTAGCATGACACGTTGAGTGTCCACGACGCATGCCGCCTACGTTGAGCGTCGCGCATGAATGAATGTCACGTTGAGTGTCATGTAGAATGACACGTAGAATGCCACATTGCATAGAGTACCATGTGAGCATGCACCAAGACGTTTGGCCGACATGATCACCATGATGAACAGTGCACGTGACCGAAGCCAGCAGCAAAGCATGAGCATGCAGTAAAAGCACTAGCAATCATAGCAGCATAGTTTGAGTGGTAGCACGAAGCAGCCGCGTGCACCCATTAATCTGCATTATTACTATAAAGCTATACAACACACACATGCACACAGCACAGCACACACACAGCACAGCACACACACACACACACACACACACACACACATGCACACACAAACACACACACGAACACACACACACACACAAATTAACTACAACATACAGCAGCATGCGGTACGGAGGGTGCTGGCAAGCGAAGTGAGAGACTACGGAGAGAGCAGGATCGTGGCAGAGCCAAGAGGATAGTCACGTCCGAGGGACGAAGACCGAGGGCCCTCAGTAGCCGGAAATGAGCATGGCCAACACCCATTTATTGAACCCTTTCAGCACGGCCAGGGTGTGTAACTGACCCGCGGAGCCAAAACCAGTGATTTTCGTGATTTTCCAAAAGTAGTCCTATTCACTCACAATTTTTTCTGCGGAATGCATAGGTTTCAGTGAGAACAATTCCCAACACAAAATTCCATATTTGGTCAATAGAAGCCAGTAAAACGAGTACAAAATATACGTATTTTTGATGAATTTTCGCATAAACACGGGTTGAACGTACCAGAGCATGCAGCTCATTTATACTAGAATGGCCAGGTGGATATGATGGTAAGAACTAGGTTTGACATAATTACGGTTTTGTTCTTGAGTAGATGATGACCAAATATGGTCATGTTTGCTGAAACCAACTGAGGGGCGTCAGGAACTATTCAATGTGCATACGAATAGCTAGGCAACAGGTTCTTGCCGAACAGACACCGGCAGAGACATGCACATATTCACAACCATACAGATCTATCCAGCCATGCAATTCTCGCATTCACATTCACCCGTACACTCATGTACTCTATTGGACACATGTATGAAAGCGCACCCGTGCGCACGCGCGCGCGTGCGCCCCCCCCCCCCCCCCCCCCCCTCCACACACACACACACACACACAAATTATAGAATGTAGCTCACATAAATTATTGAATGCAGCTCACACAAAGTAGCTGAGCGCTGCAATACCACTACAGTGAACTAGCAGGTAGCTAGCAACTACATAAAGCCTGCCACGATCCTCAAGCGGTGACCAGACCTGAACACCCCTGACACGAGCGAGTACAGCTCTATTTCCCTCGGTAAGACTCCTCGAAACACTGAATGCAATACGAATGGCTAGGCAACAGGTTCTTGCCGAACAGACACCGGCAGAGGCATGCACATATTCACACCTATACAGACCTATCCAGCCATGCAATTCTCGCACTCACATTCACCCGTACACTCATGTACTCTATTGGACACATGCATGAAAGCGCACCCGAGGGCGCGCGCGAGTGCGCGCCCACACGCACACACACAAATTATAGAATGTAGCTCACACAAATTATAGAATGTAGCTCACACAAATTATAGAATGTAGCTCACACAAATTATTGAATGCAGCTCACACAAAGTAGCTGAGCGCTGCAATACCACTACAGTGAACTAGCAGGTAGCTAGCAACTACATAAAGCCTGCCACGATCCTCAAGCGGTGACCAGACCTGAACACCCCTGACACAAGCGAGTACAGCTCTATTTCCCTCGGTGAGACTCCTCGAAACACGGAATGCAGTACCCAGGATTCCCGAGGCAATCAGCGCACATGGTGGGGACATCCTTCCGGTTACCCTTGCCGTAGCAGACAACACACTGTTTCTGCGGATTAGCCTTTTTCTCGGTTGCCGGGATGTAGCGGAGGAAGTGGCTGTCCATGCGCTTCGTGCCTGTGGCTCCACCAGTTGCTGCAGCAGCTGCTTCCGCGTGAGCTACCATCTCCGCCTTGCCTTCGGCGATGAGGGCTTTCAGGGCGCGCTTCACAAAGTCGAAGTGCGTCATGCGGTTTGACTTCCTGTGCAGGATATACGCATTCAGGAGTGCTTGCTCAATCAGATGCACGGCGAGCTTCTTGTACCACTTCCGGGACTTGCGTGCAGCGGTGTAGAACGACAGCATCTCATCATTTTTGTCAACTCCACCCATCTTCTTGTTGTAGTCCTGTACAAGACGAAGCTTGCGGACTGGGCGGCGCTGCCGATCTCGCTTGCCAGTTGGCTCTACGTTTGCCTTGTGCATCGTGGACAGAAAATGCACCTCCTTCGTGTCCTGCAACTTTATAAACATCATGCCACCACCGCTCCGGTACAGAAAGTGGCCTTTCTTTAGCCCCTTGAAATTTGCTATACGCTTCGGTAGTCCGATCCGGTTCTTGCGAATGGTACCGCACACTCCCGTTGCGTTGCCCTTGAGGTAGGTGGCTATCGGGATACTCGTGTACCAGTTGTCCACGTACAGCTTATACCCCTTCCCGAGAAGCGGCTCAACGAGCTTGTGCACTACCGCACCGGACACGCCGAGCTCCTTGACCTTCTCAGGGCAGAAGGTTTCGATGTCCTTCCCGACGTAGACAATCAGATTGAAGAGGTAACCGCTGTCTTCGCAGAGCGCATAGATTTTCATCCCGAAGCGTGCTCGCTTCGACGGAATATACTGGCGGAATGATATCCTTCCCTTGAACGCCACCAGTTCCTCGTCAATTGAAATGTACTCGTTGGGAGTGTAAACGCTCATGAATCGCTCCTGAAGCAACGTCAGAAGAGGCCGTATCTTGGAGAGCTTATCGTTGGGATCTTCTTCAGCGTTGTCCATGAAGTGCAGAAAGTTCATGATAGAGGTGAAGCGCTCGCGCGGCATCGTGCGGCTGTAGAACGGTGTGGCGATGATGGGATCTGTGCTCCAATAGTGGTCAAGCTCGGGCTTAGGAACAAGGCCCATATTCAAGAACAAGCCCAGGAACACTTTCATTTCGGCTACGGTAACGGGTGTCCACGAGCGGGCGAGGCTGCGCCGGGCCAGTGTTTCAGCGTTAGCGTCGATGTATGCTCTTGCAAACCGGTTTGTCTCCGTCACTAGCATCACCCAGAATTGTGCAGTGAAGAACAGCTTGACATAGTCCAGTGGAGTTGGATCGTCCGGGAGAGGCATCTTGATCCCTGGCTGGCCAGTAAATGGCGGCACATTAGGTTCCACATTCTGTTTCACCCAGATACCTGCAGTAACAAAATATCCATGACAAATCCTATGATGTTCCCAGTGTCACACACAAATGCTAATAATTATAATAATTTGCATTGTACAATTCTGTCCGCTGATTGAGTTGTACATGTGTATGAATACTAAAAATATAATTCAAATTTGGAACTCACAACGATAAGCATTTGCAACACAATACACATTTACATGCATTGTGAATGAGGAAAAATGTCCGTGCATGATCATTGAGCGATCAGCTGAGTGACAAGATTTTTAGTACAATTATTTGAAAATTTGAAATTATGAGTACTATTTTCAGATCCATACGCACACTGACCTTCACTTCCATCGTCGCCCTCAGCCAGTGCTTCGACTGCTTCCACGTGCGTTTTAGCAGATATCCCCTCGTTCTCACCGTCACTGTCGCTGCTGGCGCTACCTACATCGTCATCCGCGGCGTCTCCTACGACATCGTCGTCGTCCAATTCATTTTCACTATCGCCTGGCGACGCTGCGCGATTTTCAGGCAGATCTCCATCTTCCTCCGACAGAACGATGTCGTCTTCAGACAATGTCGGCTCGACATCACTGTCAGGGTCGAGTACGACAAGGTCGAGGACATGATCGAGATCGTCTGCACCATATCGACGCCGCGCCATGACAGCAAATTGTCAAAATTTCTATTGTTCAAATAATTTCGCACGCGACATCTATGTAGGCGTACATAGCCGCACATGCGCGTGCGCCCGTCAGTACTATCGTAGAACTGTCGACGTTCATCCAGCACGTCACTGGTCCACGTAGGGATAAGATCCGTCGACCACGGATGTCTCGAGAGTACGTTCATTTTCACTGTACGCATCACGTATATATACGTGATCCGTGGGCCAGTTACATGTACCATCACGTACATATACGTGATGCGTGCTGAAAGGGTTAATTTATCAAAGAAAATGTGAGAGATCAGAAATGGGAGGTGGGTGGGTGAAACACAACGATCCGACAAGAGTGATCCACACACAGAACGGATCAAAATAATATATAATAAACTAGGCAAACTTAAGCATGCCACATTGAGTGCCCACGATGCATGCCGCCGACGTTGAGCGCCGCGCAAGAATGAATGAATGCCACGTTGAGTGTCACGTTGCATGACACGTAGAATGCCATGACGGATAGAGTACCACGTGAGCATGCACCTAAACGCGTGACCAACATGGTTACCGTGGTGTACAGTGCACGTGACTGTAGCCAGCAGCAAAGCATGAGCATACAGTAAAAGCGCTAGCAATCATAGCAGCATAGTTTGAGTGGTAGCACGAAGCAGCCGCTCGCACCCATTAATCTGCATTATTACTATAATGCTACACAAACACACTCATACACACACACAGAACACACACACACACACACACTTGTGCGCTCACACACATGCACACAGCACACAAACACGCACACCAAGCACACAAACACACACACACACATTAGCTACAACATACGGCAGTTTGCGGTCCGGAGGGTGCTGTCGAGCAAAGTGAGAGGCTACGGAGAGCAGGATCTTGGCGGAACCAAGAGGATAGTCACGTTGGCCGAGAGACGAAGACCGAGAGCCCTGAGCAGCCGGAAATGAGCATGGCCAACACACACACACACCACACACACACCACACACACACCACACACACACAGAGCACACACACACAAACACATACAATTAACTACAACACACAGTAGCTTGCGGTACGGAGGGTGCTGGCCAGCGAAGTGAGATACTACGGAGACAGCAGAATCTTGGCGGAGCCAAGAGGATAGTCACGTCTGAGGGACGAAGACCGAGAGCCCTGGCAAGCCGGAAATGAGCATGGCAAAAACCCGTTTATTTACTTTATCAAAGTAAATGAGAGATGAGAAATGCGAGTTTGGTGGGTGAAACACAATGATCTGACAAGAGTGATCCAAACACAGAACGGATCGAAATATATAACTAAGCAAACTTTAGCATGACACGTTGAGTGTCCACGACGCATGCCGCCTACATTGAGCGTCGCGCATGAATGAATGTCACGTTGAGTGTCACGTAGAATGACCAGAGAATGCCACATTGCATAGAGTACCATGTGAGCATGCACCAAGACGTTTGGCCGACATGATCACCATGATGAACAGTGCACGTGACCGAAGCCAGCAGCAAAGCATGAGCATGCAGTAAAAGCACTAGCAATCATAGCAGCATAGTTTGAGTGGTAGCACGAAGCAGCCGCGTGCACCCATTAATCTGTATTATTACTATAATGCTACACAAACACTCATACACATGCACACAGCACACACACATGGACAGAGCACACACAAATAGCAAACAAACACAAACACACACACACACACACACACACACAGTAACTAGAACATATAGCAGCATGCGGTACGGAGGGTGCTGGCCAGCGAAGTGAGAGACAACGGAGAGAGCAGGATCTTGGCGGAGCCAAGAGGATAGTCACGTCTGAGGGACGAAGACCGAGGGCCCTCAGTAGCCGGAAATGAGCATGGCCAACACCCGTTTATTTAATTTATCAAAGTACATGAGAGATGAGAAATGGGAGGTGGGTGGGTGAAACATAACAATCTGACAAGAGTAATCCACACACAGAACGGATCGAAATATATAATAACCTAGGCAAACTTAACCCTTTCAGTGCAAATGACGAGATATCTCGCTCTGCAAAGTGTGCCTGAACGGCGGATGACGAGATATCTCGCTCCACCGTCCACGCAATAGTACGAAGTGCATATGTCACTGTACAAACTGTCGTAACTCGTGTCAACGGCAGCCGATTTGAACAAACGATATACCGTTGGAAAGGTATTGAGCTCAGCTTTCCAGTGATACAAAGTTCGTTGCGATGGGACTAGATTTGAGCGAGCGATGACGAATAGAATTGCAAAAAATCAAAAATACGTTTTCTGGCCATCAGTTCACACTTTTTGCTCGTGACTCGCTTTTTTTTAGGGGATTTCCCTTTGCTACAGCGCATGCGGTTGGGGGAATTAAACAAATTGCTTGAATCTCAGCTTTGCAGCGCAGTTTGAATCGTGAAGTTTGGTTTAGTTTGAGAGAGATGGCGAACGAAAATTTATTATGAAGTTGTTTAGCGATTCTGACACATGTAAGGGCTTCTTCTAGAGCACATAGAAGTGATGCTGGCATGCCTATGGAGCTGAGAACTGCCAGAGAGTCTTCGCTTGGCTCAGGCCTTTCCAACAAGCTATAGGTCGTGGATATACATCAATAGATGCAAACATGGCGAAAGATTCGGCTCGGCGACTTGCATGCAGGGTCTGAAATGAAGGCAAGTGAGCTGAAAGCTTAGCCGGCAGGGGGAAACTAGGCCAGCAGTAAAAGGGTTGAGCATGCCACGTTGAGTGCCCACGACGCATGCCGCCTACGTTGAGCGTCTCGCATGAATGAATGAATGCCACGTTGAGTGTCACGTTGCATGACACGTAGAATGCCATGACGCATAGAGTACCATGTGAGCATGCACCAAGACGTTTGTCCAACGTGGTTACCGTGATGTACAGTGCAAGTGACTGTAGCCAGCAGCAAAGCATGAGCATGCAGTAAAAGCGCTAGCAATCATAGCAGCATAGTTTGAGTGGCAGCAGGAAGCAGCCGCGTGCACCCATTAATCTGCATTATTACTATAATGCTACACAAACACAGCACACACACACACACATTACTATAATGCTACACAAGCCCACTCATACTCATGCACACACATACACACAGCATGTAGCACGCACACACATACACACATACACACACACACACACACACACGTGCACACGTACACACACACACGTGCACACATCACACACACCCATGTGCACACGACACACACAAACGCACACACACGCAGTACGCACACACACACAAACACACACACACACACATAAAACACGCACACATTTACACACACACACACACAGAACACACACACACTCGCGCACACATACATGCACGCAGGACACGCACACACATTAGCTAGAACATACGGCAGTTTGCGGTACGGAGGGTGCTGTCGAGCAAAGTGAGAGGCTACCCAGACAGCAGGATCTTGGCGGAACCAAGAGGATAGTCACGTTGGCCGAGAGGCGAAGACCGAGAGCCCTGAGCAGCCGGAAATGAGCACGGCCAACACACACACACACACACGCAGACACATATGCACACAGACACACACAGACACACACAAACACACACAATTAACCACAACACATAATAGCTTGCGGTACGGAGGGTGCTGGCCAGTGAAGTGAGAGGCTACGGAGAGAGCAGGATTTTAGCGGAGCCAAGAGGATAGTCACATCTGAGGGACGAAGACCGAGAGACCTGAGCAGCCGGAAATGAGCATGGCAAACACCCGTTTATTTACTTTATCAAAGTAAATGAGAGATGAGAAATCGGAGGTGGGTGGGTGAAACTGAAAAGAGTGATCCACACACAGAACTGATCGAAATATATAACTAGGCAAACTTTAGTATGCCACATGGAGAGCCCGACGTTGAGCGTCACACATGAATGAATGCCACATTGAGTGTCACGTCGAATGACACGTAGAATGCCACAATGCATAGTGTACCATGTGAGCATGCACCAAGACGTGTGACCGACATGGTTACCGTGATGAACAGTGCATGTGACTGTAGCCAGCAGCACGGTATGAGCATGCTGTAAAAGCGCTAGCAATCATAGCAGCATAGTTTGAGTGGTAGCACGAAGCAGCCGCGTGCACCCATTGATCTGCATTATTACTATACCGTAAAAGTCCGTATCAATTTCCGAAATTAGTGATCGCACCCGTACTTACTTTCGGGCAGGTACTGACTTTCGGGTTCGAACTTACTTTCGGACCCGACCTGCGCGTACTGTATAGGTCGCTTTTATCCAGTGCTTGTCGTACAATGGCATACATGGTACATGCAGCACCGATGACACAGTGACACAGTGCATGTATGCATGTACTGTACCTGTAGACCGGTACTTCTTTCTGGCGCACTTTCTTGCCCAGGCGCGAACGAAGTTTGTGACTACCTATCACAAGTACAAGCGGAGTTCGTTTCATGTTTGTCAGTGAGTTACGCGAGTGCGACGATGAGACATGGATCGAAGAGAGAGGGTTGCTGAGAGAGAGTTTTTGGAGGATTTTGACGATGATATTGAGTGGGATAACGAAAGTGATGATGAAGCCGGTGCAGAGGACGAAGAACGTGATGATGCTGTTGCAGAGAATGTACGAGCGCCTCCAGCAAGAGAGAACATCGCCGGCAGTGTTGACTCGAAGAAATCGTTCAGCCGAGAAAAGAAACTTTCCGTACTTACCTGGATGCGGAACAAGAAGGCCAGCAAAGGAGAGATTGCGCGGCATTTCGGCCTGCCACATCACAACTATATCAGTCGCTGTTTGGCGCAAGAGCAGAAGCTGCTACAGGAATCGCGCGGAGCTCGGAGCATTGGCTCAGGACGAAAAGCTCAGTGGCCTCAGCTCGAAGAACGGCTTCACGCCGAGTTTCGAACAAAGCCCGACGCCGGCATAAAGGTACAGGGCTGGTGGTTCGTGACGAGGGCGAAGCAGCTGGTTCGTGAGCTGTACTCTGAAAAAGTTGGCGACGACGACACCATCCCGTTCAAAGTTTCAATTCATTGGTTTCGGCGATTCCAAAGCAGGTGGAACGTCTCGTTGCGGGCGACGACGAACAGAGGGCAGGAGGAACCGGAGAGAAAACTTGCACTAGTCCGTAAGTTCCATACCGACATCCGCTCAGCTGGAGAGTTCGAGAAGAAGAACATCGCTAATATGGACCAGACGCCTCTGCCCTTTGATCTGAATGTGGGCAAGACGTACGCGGAGAAGGGCAGCAAAACTGTTTGGTGTCGTAGTATGGGAGGCTCCGGCATGAATAAGCGCCAGGCAACTGTTCAGCTCACCATATACGCCGATGGTGAACCCCGCGTTAAGCCCCTCATAATCTTCCGGGCCACTGGACAGCGTATCACACAGCAGGAGAAGCAGCAGTATGATCATCATGTGACTGTTCACGTCCAGGAGAACGCCTGGTGTGACGAGAGCATTTTCCTTTTCTGGGCACGGCATATGTGGCGGCGCGACGTTGCGACAGAAAAGCTTCTCGTTATTGACAGCCACTGGGCCCAGATGACAGCTTGGGCGAGGACAGCGCTGAAGGAGGAGTGTAACACCGCTGTTGTCACGTTGCATGACACGTAGAATGCCATGACGCATAGAGTGCCATGTGAGCATGCACCAAGACGTTTGTCCGACATGGCTACCGTGATGGACAGTGCACATGACTGTAGCCAGCAGCAAAGCATGAGCATGCAGTAAAAGCGCTAGAAATCATAAAAGCATAGTGGCAGCAGGAAGCAGACGCGTGCACCCATCAATCTGCATTATCACTATAATGCTGCACCCACACCCACACACGCACACACACACACACACCCACGCACACACACACGCATGCACGCATACATACACGCAAACCCGCACCCACACACACATTAGACGTCCAAAAACACAACACACCACGTTTCAAAGCTTTGCCTGCGCCAACAACGTTTCCTCCGCTTTACAAACTAACAATACGGATGTCTCAAACACACGCTCCAAGCACACGACCTATTTCCGAAAGCAGAACAAAAACACCCTCGTCCCTGATTGAAACAACAGCAACGCTCTTAATAACCACGTGACAACATTGAAAGTGTTATACTGTACTGGGTCTCTTGTACTGCTAAGGGTGACTTGAGGAGTGACAACATTGAAAGTGTTATACTTTACTGGGTCTCTTGTACTGCTAAGGGTGACTTGAGAAGTGACAACATTGAAAGTGTTATACTGTACTGGGTCTCTCAGGGTTCGCAGCGAACCAAGCACACAAAATTCCAAACCTTTTCCAAACTTTTTCCAAACCAATTTCAAGAATTTCCAAACCCACTCGTGCAGGAAAAATAAATTATAAATCTCTTCTGCATGACTGTCTTTTCCACTACGAGTACAACCAGGGAGTAGTAAAATCCTCCCTGATACTACTACCATCAACAAATTCACCAAGGTGCATTGCAATGATATCGCCTTCAGCAGCTAGAGCCCCTGAAAATAGCAGGGGAATTCATACGACAAGAGTTCCCCTCCGTAATTTCAAATCCGCCTCCAGAGGTGGTTCCAATGAAACATTTACATAGCTGGTGTCCATCTCAGCGCAAAAGACGGCTTCATCGTCGCCAGCAAACTCATCTGAGTGCGAAAGTGCCTCTCCATCCTGCTGTCCAGACTTCAAAGAATCGGGTAATCCTGAAATAAGGATTATTATCAAAGTCGAGCGCGAGCGCCAGTAACGAAAAACGGCCAAGTAAGAGTCATCACCGGCCGCGATTGAGCTGCACTGAAATGACTGTACGAGACTCGTACATGCAGTGAACACCACAGATCGATCGCCAGCCAGCGCGTCTTCTATCGCGGTACTCAAAACGGCCACTTGCACTGCAGGAGTGCAGCACATCTGCGGCCAAAATATCGAAATTCCAAACTTTTTCCAAACTTTTTCAAAAGGAGAGCCTTTTCAAAACTTTTTCCAGACCTGGAAAATTGAATTATAAAATCCAAACTTTTTCCAGACTTCCAAACTTCGCTGCGAACCCTGGTCTCTTGTACTGCTAAGGGCGCGTTCAGACTGGCGTAAAAAAACAAGCGGAATGTGAAAGTTGTCAAGGTGAATCGATCACGTGACGTTCCCGCCAGCGTAAACACGGAAAAGGTTTCCCACCACTCTGCAGGCCAGTGGAATGCAGCTTCCGGCGGCAAGCGGAGCGCTTTTGATATCCTTGCAGCACATGTTCCGTCTTTTCGTTTTATTTCAGCCTCTACTCTTGCAGTCTGACTGCATGCTTTTGAGTTTTGAGTCTTGACTTCTAGACTGCCAACTTCTCCCATCATGCCGAAATCTTTGTTCGACTCAGCAATGGAGAGGGGGTTCATGGAGCTGTACGTGGTGATTTTTGCGGGCCGCTCTGCAGGCAAAACGTTACTGCGAACGAGAAGCATACTCTGATCGCGGAGCGGATGAATGCCACCCAAGCACCAAACACTCCGGACATAGTATTCTTTCCGTCGACAAGCACAAGCAAAAGCACAATGATCCAGTATCTCAACAGACTGAATTAGTTTATTTTGATATCCAACTCAAACTGAGTCAACTCAAATTTTTCAAATGTCGAAGCTTCACATGTACTGGCCATTCCAGCGGGATACACATGCAGTGTGGTTGCGATTCCCGGGATTACGCTGCAGCTTTCCGGCGGCTATTCACGCCAGTCTGAACGCGCCCTAAGGGTGACTTGAGGAGTGACAACATTGAAAGTGTTATACTGTTCTGGGTCTCTTGTACTGCTAAGGGCAACTTGAGGCGACCAGAATGATTATGTGTACAAATATTTTCGTATCTCCACTTCTAAACACAGGATAGTTACAAACGACCACTCTACGCGTTCAGGAAGACCTTGGCTATCGACTCATCACATCGTTTTGTGTCAAGGATTATACTGAGCTTGTATACAAACTCCCATCTCTCCCCACACAACACTCCAGACTTGTATTTTGCATATAACAGGTACTTCAATGACGAGAATATAAACTGGTATATAAACTGGTATATAAACTGGTATATAAACTGGTGTATAAACTGGTATATAAACTCCTTTTTTTTTAGGATTACACTAGTGACCTGCAGTCCGCCTTGATGGTTTTTCGACATGCACGACGGTCCCAACTTCAGGATCTCTTTCCCGTCAACGATGAAGAATACAACGTCGTCCTTTGTAACATGTGCCTTGTGCTGCACCTGGCGTTCCAGGCTGTCCTTCTTTCGCTGTTTCAGCACTCCGTCTGTCAAGCGCAGCACTCGACATGTGCGGCTGAAGAGCCCCGCGTGCCGCTCCTCCTGCGTTTTTGCATGGACATAGAATGCAGATAGCAGGGGCGACGGAACTTCACTACTGATGGTTTTCCAATCGATGTTCTCCTTTCCGCGTCCCTCGCAGAGCGGACGGAACATGCGCAGCCATAATCCGTGGCACTGCCAGTGTTCTTAGAAACTGCTGCTTGAATAATGGCATCGTGATTCGTGGTCGTCCTCAGAAGAAACGTTTGGGAGTCGATTCAACAGGCTCGTGCTGATTCATTTTACTCTTACTTTGGAAAGGAGACGAACTCTATGTCTCTAAAGTCTAATGAGCAAACGGTTCTTTTACAGAGCCCGCGGTGAGATCTGCGCGCGGTAACGGTCACTAGCACTGTGAGGTTCAAACTAACTTACTTGGCACATAGCTGTTACTTCCGATGTAACTAGTACTTCAGTACTAAACTGAAGTCACAAAGAGTGTGTGATGGTACTGCACTAGCACTGCATGCACTGCACAGAGTCAGTGGTAGTCTTGTACTTGATCCGCACAGGTTGGTGAAAGGAAGACTCGTCGAGCCATGGTTGTGGGTTGGAATTCCAATCTCTACCCTTGTGGGGGAGAGGGGAGTTTGTATATCAGCTCAGTATAAGCATAATATAACCTACTCAGTTGATTATATGGGAAATATAAACCAATATACAAACCTCGGCTTCGCCTCGGTTTGATTATATTATATACATATAGGTGTCGCCAGGGCGAAGCCTGAAGTGTGCCACTCGGACAAACAATTGTCCCGAATAGAAAACATGAAAATTAATATGAAATATGAGCATCGCTGTTATCTATTTTTCACGGCAATCCATGCGTATTGGCAATCAAAACATCGAGAATTCGAGTTTCTCAGTGGCTTTCAGGTCAACTTTTCCCGCGCTGAAAGTTCACTGTGCTGCGCTCGATCGAGCGCGTGGGAAAGCCCAAATACTACGAAAATGCAGAGCACGAATTTCGATCAGACATCCTCGCGAAGAAGACAATTTTCGCTGCATCTTCGCTTCGTAGTTGTCTACCTGGCCTTGATATCTTTCCACAGAGCCATCGTTTGTAAAGGTCCGTGGAGATCTAGCTGAGTTATGACACATTGATTCCCGCTCAATGGCAGGTTATTAAAACACGAGTACATCAGTAACATGACAAGCAGCGAAAACAGGCAGTGAAACCAGCCAGCAGACTGACAACACATTGTTATGTGCTCAAGCTCACAAATTCTTCTCGTGCTTTCCCCCACTGGTATTTAAAGATTTGAAATCTAGAACAATCGTCTATAAACATTTCAAGCAAGAGTACATAAACCAGAGTGTGCACCTCCGTAAAACCAATCTCACAACGAAGTGAAGCATGGAAAGCCTTTATGTTATTGGGCCTAGTTCCCGTTTAACTGAATCACCGAGGCGATGAAGAGAAATTCGTGTGCGTGTTTAGTCTTTTGTACAACAAGCAGCAAAGCGCACCATAAGAAAAAAACCTTGGTGATACGGGGAAATAGCCACGTGAACCTGCGGCAGATGCAGCAAAAGTTTGTCCTTATGAGCTAAACAACAGCACTTCGAGGCGAGACGATTTCCCCCTCAGCATCACGCCCTGGATTACAAGTGACTACAATGCGCTGATTTTGTGACAAGAAATAAGCAAGAAAGTCAACTGAACATACTACATACAACTGTACTAGATAGTAAGTGATTACGAGTTTCATACAGGTACAATGTAGTGTCAGCAATTTCCACTCCTAATGTCACAATTCACTATACTCTACTGCAAGGAGCAATATGGAGAGGAGGATGAGTCCCTTTAACAATTTGCTAGACGATTCTCGCTGACCCCAGCCGACCAGGAACCCGCGCGCCTACAACCTCTTCCTGACACCCAGATACATGCCGACAGTTCTTGCAGACAGCGAGAACACATCGACACACGTCATATGGAATACAAGAATGACACCGGCATCATAGCTCACACAGCCATGGTGCCAACAGAAAATATAGCGTGTTGAAACGAAGCACAAGTACGATATAGACCATGAGAGGGGGACTAACCACAGCAGCAGAAACTCACCGGGAGGAAGACGACGGAGGCTACGTTGACCAAAGTCCGCAAAGAGATCCAAAAAAGCTCTGCGAGCAGAGAAGAGAGACTGACTTAGCTAGAGACTGAACAACTATCGCCAGCACTTGATACTTCGTGGAAAACAGCACTCACCACACACACGTTGGGAAATCAAGGCGAACAGATTCAAGACCAACAGATTGGGAAACTTGTTCTCACAACCGGTACAGATAAGAGTGACGCTGTTGTTGTCAATGTCAGTGGTCCC